AGCACTTAACCCATAAACATCTGATTCTTCCATGTTAGACTTTTCAAAATAATTTTTCACAAAGCTCATGCCAGCAGTCTCCCCTGGACATTAGCTATTGGATGAATCTGGAATCTCGTGTTGCTGTGAACTGGAGCGTACCATCTTTGGGCAGTGTGAGAAAGGGTGAAGACAGCGCCAGGACTCTAGCTCTGCTCCTAGAAGGTTTCAATGATGTGTGCAGATGTTTGGCTCGCAGCACTGCTTGTCAACACACGGGTGTAATGATGCTCAATGCTTTCTGTCTTTCTGTGGTCAATATGAGACTGTTATGGTGAGATTTTAGCACGCTGCAAAAGGTGACGATTCTGGTGAACGCTCAGTGTGTTTTTAATCATTTTGACAAACTCATATTAATGGCATGTACCCACGCTTTGTACCATCACCAGGGCCAAAAGACTGATGCCAGATATAAGAGTTCAAGGTGTGGCGTGAGCTGCTGTTGAGTAAATCAAACAAGTCACAGTTTACTGCTCTAAAAACTTAGAATCGTCACATGCATCATTCTTAACAGTTCTACAGTTGATTAAGGTACACAATGATTCACAGATACTCATTAAATACACTTATGCTATGCTGCATTTGATTTACCTCAGTAGTTGGATGTCAGAACTGGTCAGTGATCCAAAATGGCCAATGTTCCAATGTGTAAGCATTAACAGTGTCAGCAATAAGATTACATTGCATTCTGTGACTGGGTTATTGTATTTTCACTGTCACACAGGAATTGTATTCATTCAGTCATTTTCTTTTCGTCTTAGTCCCATTATTAATCAGGGGTCACCACAGCGAAATGAACCACCAACTTATCCAGCATATGTTTTACGCAGCGGATGCCCTTCCAGCTGCAACCTAACACTGAAAACACTCATACACTCTTGCATTCACACACATACCATGGCCATTTTAGCTTATTTAATTCATCTGTACCGCATGTCTTTGGAATAGGGGGAAACTGTATTGCCATGCTTTGAAATGCAGTAAATGGTTAAACATTTCATTGTCTTCCATGGAACTCTTATAAAAACTGTTGTGTTAATAAATATTTAAGCCAATTCACAAAACTGTAGTGAGTGATTGTCTCAAGCAATAAATTACAGCTTTTATAAATTAAAAAGAAAAATCATAAAATAATTATTAAATGCATCAGGCCCATTTTACAAGTGCGTATTTTAGTTAATGGCAATCCTTTTTTTGATGATTAAACATAAGAACTTGATTCATTTTGTCACTGAAAACCAAGTCATGTGGTGTGACACAAAAAATGTCATTTAAAAATAGGTAATTAGTTAAAGGATTCATGTAACTGAAGCTCCCTGTGAAGTTTATGAATTACATCTGTTTTTGTCTCAAAATGTTCCACATTTGTAACTTTTTTTGTAAGCATGATGAATTGTTTTGTTGTCCTTTGGAGTAATACCTTATTTATTGAAAATGTCCAAATCCAACAGATCATGGAAAAAAGAATATATTATTTATTAATTCATATAAAATAATTAGCACTGTAAGAAGATTGGTGTCCACCAATGGGATAGAGATAAATTGCTCTCATGCTGCTTGTATATAGTAAAAGTTATTTATCTGAATTATTGCTATGTCATGCCATAGGACATATTTAAGTTATGGTTCAGTACATACAATTTCTGTTTAAATTGGATTTAAATTGAATTGGATTTTAAATTGAAAATTGGATTTTTCCCACTCATTTCTAAACATAATAGTTTTAATAACTCATCTCTAACAACTGATTTATTTTATCTTCGGCATGATGACAATAAATAATATTTTTCTAGCTATTTTTCAAGACACTTCTATAAACTTAAAGTGACACTTAAAGGCTTACTTAGTTAGGCAAGTTATTGTATAACGATGGAATAACGATGGAACTGCTTTTATTCTAGCCGGAAAAAAAAAAAAAAAACTAAAACTTTCTCCAGAAGGAAAAATATTATCACACATACTGTGAAGATGTCCTTGCTCTGTTAGACATCATTTGGGAAATATATGAAAAAAAAAGAAAAAGATCAAAAAGAGGCTAATAATTCTCACTTTAACTATAAATACAGTTGAAGTCAGAATCATTAACCCCATTTTGATTTTTTTTTTCATATTTCCCAAATTATTTTTAACAGAGCAAGGAAATTTTCACAGTATGTCTGATAATATTTTTTCTTCTGGAGAAAGTCTTATTTGTTTTGTTTTAGCTAGAATAAAAGCAGTTATTAATTTCTTTAAAAACATTTTTGGGACAAAATTATTAGCACCTTTAAGCTAATTTTTTTCTCGATAATCTACGCAACAAACCATCGATATACAATAACTTGCCTAATTACCCTAACCTGTCTACTTCAATTTATTAACCTAGTTAAGCCTTTAAATGTCACTTTAAGCGGTATAGAAGTGTCTTGAAAAATATAAAGTAAAATATTATCTACTGTCATCATGTCAAAGATAAAATAAATCCGTTATTAGAAATAAGTTTTTAAAACTATTATGCTTAGAAATGTGCTAAAACAATCTTCCCTCCATTAAACAGAAATTGGTGAAAAAAAATAAACGGGCGCTAATAATTCAGGGGGGCTAATAATTCTGACTTCAACTGTATATATATGCTCACAACAATATGATGAAAATGCATAAAATTCAGTTTTAGGCATGCCATGTGCCATCTGATTCGAGACTAGCATCTTGAGGTTGGCACAAAATGCAAGAAAATCCCAGCTTTGTTATTAAGCTGAAGAATAAAATAAAGAACAATTAGTAAGTGAATCAAATGTTCAAAAAACAACAACAAAAAAATCGCATTTAAGCAGTTTGCATGACTTCACATTAACAATAGATACTGCGCACAGGAAAGTAAACATTTGTTTTATGTCATTTTAGTTTAAGTAAAATTAATGGAACATTCCTTAAATGTATGAGTTGAGTCAGCATCTTCATGGGCTCTGGGGTAATGTTAATTTGGAAACTTGACCTACTAAAGTGGGAAACCAAGGATATACAATAATCTTAAGGGCATCCTGTAAATTAAGCAATTGGCATAACAGAAATATTCTAAATGCAAGACACTGCCCCTATCATCAAAATAATGTTACACAACTCTGTAATAGAACCAATAGGACCTCCCTGTTCCCCCTCCTCTCTCCCCTCAATCTCACTACAAATGTCATCAACAGTGGACAACATTGGTCAATAGCATTTATACAGTTGAAGTCAGAATTATTAGCCCCCCTAAATTATTAGCGCCCCTGTTTATTTTTTCACCAATTTCTGTTTAAAGGAGGGAAGATTGTTTTAGCACATTTCTAAGCATAATAGTTTTAAAAACTTATTTCTAATAACAGATTTATTTTATCTTTGACATGATGACTGTCAATAACATTTTACTTGATATTTTTCAAGACACTTCTATACAGCTTAAAGTGACATTTAAAGGCTTAACTAGGTTGATAAGGTGAACTAGGCAGGTTAGGGTAATTAGGCAAATTATTGTATCACGATGGTTTGTTCTGTAGATTATCGAACAAAAAAAAAAAAAAAAATAGCTTAAAGGGGCTAATAATTTTGTCCCAAAATGTTTTTAAAAAATTAATATCTGGTTTTATTCTGTTTGAAATAAAACAAATAAGACTTTCTCCAGAAGAAAAAAAAATATTATCAGACATACTGTGAAAATTTCCTTGCTCTGTTAAAAATCATTTAGGAAATATTTTAACAAATTAAAAAAAATCAAAAGGGGGCTAATAATTCTGACTTCAACTGTATATACTGTACACGCATATTGACACCCAAGTGGCACTTTAAGACATTATGTGTTTTTTTTTTGTTTTTTTTTTTTGCTGTCAGAAATAGAACCCTTCTGCATTTTTAAACTTGTGCAATGTTTAACTGATGAATTATAATTGCTTAAAGCATGCCTGCTGTACTTTTCATCTTTGCCATTCTAAAAATATTACATTGTTACTATATTAACATCTAGAACAAGAGTCAGCCCTGAATGGCGGCTGGTGAGTTTTACAGCAGAAAACATTCTCCTCGGAGGTCGGTGCATGCAATAGTGAGAATGACTTGCGGTTTGGTGCCTGTTTTATGCATACAGTCTTTTGGTTTGGCACAAAAGCTGCAGAGTGGGAACTAAAGCAAAGAGACAGAAACAGTATATTCAAATGGTATTGTTGTCTTAAACCATCGAGTTTGTTTGTAGTATTGGCATGTGGTCCGTGCCAAACATGAGATGAATATAGATAACTAGGTTGAATGAAATGTTGAATTTTCCCATGTGCTCCTTAAAGAAACCGATGAGTCTAAATGACAGTAATGACAACATGTTAAAGTTAAAGATAAGTGAGCATTTTTTGTGATATAAATGATAATAATAACTACGACTATACTAAAATTAGAACTGAAACAATTAGAAGTGGCTGATTTATAATTAAGTGCTTATTTCATTTTGCATTTACTTAAAAAGTGTCATGCGTTATTTTTGCAATACATCATCATTATTTCTAGAGGTTTTTAATACATTTTAAGTCTGTTTTAAGTCTTCATTTTATTTTCTGTGCACTTGTTATTGCCAAGAATCAAATGGTGTTTCACAATGATAAAACAGAAGAACATTTTATTTTGTTTCATTCTTTGTTCTTCAAAGAAACATTTAGCAAAAGACATCCTCCTTATACTTAATAATTGTAATTAATTTTAGATAATTACATGCAACTCACCCTAAACCTAACCTGCATTTTAACCCTAAAATATAGTAGGTAGGTACATATAGTTAATTTTACTCAATAGTATTCATCAAATAAACAGTTATTCATACAATTTCATCATCTAAAGAAACCTTTTGCCCCCATGAAGGTTCTTCCTTTATTTTTAAGACTGTAAAGCACTACATTAATACATGGTAAATCACTTTTATAGCTATTTCTAGAATTTCTTACAAAAACAAAGCTGAAATAAAGTGACATTTCTGTGAAATTTATTATTTGGACACAACAAACAATTTTACATCATCCAGCTCAATATTTCAAATGGTATATCTCAACAAAAAAATGTATACATACAACAAAAGTCACATGTTTGTATGCACAAAAGCTTATAGAAACATGCATAAAGAAATGCAGCCGAACAGCCGCAATACTGCAAAAGCTCCAGATCCACAGCAGTTCACTGAGTTTTACAGTCAATATCTCCTTCACTTGTCCCCTTCAGTTTCTTCAGCTCCCCAAGCAGCTCCTGTTCCAGCGTTAAAATCTCTTTGGGCTTCTTGTACTACAAGAAAAGTGAGAGAAAGTCCATATAAAATCAATTGCTGGATGAAATAACTGAGTGCTGAAGCAGACGACGGAGGTGGGAGAAGTTTAGTTCAACCTTCTCTACTTTGATGAACCAATAAAAAGTGACGGAATGGTTGCCCTTTTGATGATCTGAGACCAGATCTGTGTGCTCTCATAGTGAGGATTAGAGCTTTGGCAATCTGGTCCCCGATCCACGCAAAAGGGAAAGTTCCTCTACGTGATGCGGAAAAAAAAATTCTTGGAGAAAGTGATTAAGTGAGACTAACGGTGAGAGTTCACTCACGCTGATGATTAAAGTGTTGTTGGCGTGGGTGAAACTCAAGGCTGTGCTCTCCAAAGGCAACTGGCAACGCTCGAGATCTGGAATGCTGAACTTCTTATAGTACCTGGGAAAATGAGGAGGTGAACAAGAAAATGTTTCTCATGGCCAGTCATCCACCTTCCATTCAGATCAACAGTGCCACCTATAGGCTTACTGTAGGGCTATTACAACTATTATGGACTTTTCACCATATCTAAATCAGTAGAACTGAAAACAAGTATGATTTAAAGGCATGACAGGCACTCTTTCATGAACAGCAGATTCAAGGACTTTTAAAGCACCATTCATTTCAAATGAAGCACCTTTTTAATTCACACACCCAGCATATGTAGCACAATGAAAGTCCTAACTGTACTTGACATTTCACTTACACTTAATATTTACGTTAAAAATGACAGAGTAATTATGATGTTTTGAATGTCTCATTATTAAATAATTTAGACTGTTTGAAACAGTCATATTTAAAGAACTTTAATAAACGTTGTTGAAAGCAAAACTGCTAATAATAAAGTGCAGTTTCTGAAATATCGAAACAATTTGCATTTTTTATCACTGTTTTTGTACAATTGTTGACCTCAAACACGTAAAACATGTAATTTCAAATGTAATTTAAGCACTTTCAAGGACCCATGCTTGTTTTAAGTACTTTCCAGTCCTTGAATCCAAAAGTCTGCAATTCTGGTGTTTTTAAGAAATGTGGGAAACCTGAGAAGTTTTGTTAGTTAAAATTGTAAATGATTACTGTTTTTTTTTCTTAACTCTGAGATTACTAACTATATTTAAGTTTAGTAAATAGCAAAATACAATACTACATAATAAAAAAGTCAAATAATTAAGCCACTTTTTTAGTACTTGTAATTTGGTTTCTTGTTTAGTTTGCTTTTAATAAATAAATATATAATACACACATATCGTTTCTGGTTTTCTTTGTATTCACACTGGCCTTTCAATTTTTCTTTATTTTTTTAGGACTTATGTTTAATTTGCAACAATTCTTAACTGAAACATCCAAAAAAAGTTGTGCGCTAAATGTGCTTGTTGTTTAAATGTATATTTATTATTGTCATAACTCATGTAAGTCTATAAGACTTAGAATTGGGACAAAACAACAGGTTGTTTACAGTAAAATTTTAAAGGACATTTTTTTACAATAACTTTTCCGGGTTTTTTTTCCCCTCACAGTGTGTATCACCTTTAGAAGATTATTTTGACATTTGACGGTTGAATCTGACAGCAGCATCACATCCCAAAACAATTAAATCTGTGACCACTGAGTGGATGAAGTGTCCAACATTCCAATCTTTGCTTTTATCTGTTAAATACTTGTGACATTCTGTCCTGTTTATGGTCACATCATATGCTAATTTTGTTGTGTTGGGATTTCTTTGGTTTGTTTAGAAGTGATCTGAGAAATATATTTGATATTTTCACCAGTCCTGGTTAATTCATTTCAAGGTTTGTATGGCACAATGCACACTTATTGAAAAAAATTTGCCATATTTACTTTAACTGAACCAAATGTGTCAAGTGTGAATAAATCCTAAATAGGGATGTAACAATCCACTTACCTCATAATTCACATTAATTAAATGATTCTTTGACTGTTTTTTTTTTTTTACGATAAAGGTTGAGACAATTTAGAAATGAACAAGTGTTTCTGTAAAATGAAAATTATGAAATGACTTCAGTAATAATATGCTCTATGGTGATTAAAAATATAAATGATCATTTAAAACCTCTTATTAATATTAACTTACTTTTTGTTCGAGGTCCGAATGACACAACATCTTTCCATTGGCTCAGCTGTCACACTGTAGACTTCTAAAGGGTAAGAAATGTTACGGATCCTCCACTGGAAACTTGTCTTTGTGTCCCGGCGCATAAATAGTGGCTGTGGGCATAAAAACAAGATAATTAGGTTGTCTTGCAATAAACATTGTTATTATTTTTTGTAAATCATCATCAATTAAGTATTAAAATAACTAAAAATGAGCGCTCACATTTGAACTGTTCTCTTTTATTAAATCAGATGTAGCCCCAGTTGGGTTTGTTTCACCAACTTCCAAAGTCCACTGCCCCTGTCCTCCAAAGGTGGTTTTATGTCGCCACTTTCGCACTAACAAAAGATTAAATGATGACAGAAGAATATTCAAATGAATTCTTTTTTTATTTGCTCGGATGAAGCCAAGACAGAAAACACTTACTGACAAGCTCATCTGTTTTTAGGTCATACTCCTCAGCCATCTCATTGCCATCCTCAAACTGATAATGAACTTTCCTTTTCCCTAGAAAGAGAAAGACACATGAAAAGACACATCTTACACTTTACCATACATCTCACAATGTTAAAGACTTAAAATAATATACGCAAAGCTTGAGATATTCCTCTTGGTAAAATTACCATGGTTTTACTATAAAGTAAACAGCAACAACAAAAACACGTAAACAACGCTAACGTTACACAAACCATAGCTAACACGTGGTATTTTTACAGTAGTTATTATACACCATACAATCACAATACAGCAAAGCTATAATAAATCCCTGGTCTATTGTTTTCGTATGCAAGTTTTCGTGTGCTGCTAACGTTAGTCGGTAGCAAAATTAAAAGATTTATAAAAACTCGTATAATACTATTAAAAGCATACCGGCTCAAATACACACACAGAAGAAAAAATATCCTAAAGTAAAATAAAAGACAACTTCCTACCATCGGATATTAAAGCAGTTTTCTTGGCTTTTTTAAGAGCATCAGCCCACTGTTGAACAGCCATGCTTCCTGCTGATTCATTTCCTCAAACAAACCCGCGCCTGCGGTTGCCTTGACAACCTCTATTTCAAACAAGCTCTTTTATCTTTTTTATACATTTAACAGAATTGTATACACGATTAATCGATTTGAAGTATTACATGTTGCAAAAAGTGAAAAAGTGCTGCATTTTTTTCATGTTTAATAAAAGAAGCCAACTCTACGACCCGGAAGTAGATCCGTTTAAAAACATTAGTGTCGTGTGTTGTTCTCGGAGAGAGGATTTGAAAGGGGTACTGATGGCATGTTTTCAGCTGTATATGTTTATAGACTGTTTATTTTTATATTCTGTTGCCTACTGATCGCAGTCATTTTCTCATCAGCTCCAGATCATCTCCCTGTTCGGAATGGAGGGTCATGGCCATGGAATTCTAAAGGCTTTCCCTAAAGTTAAGAGAGCCAGGCCTAATGACCAGAAGGACGCGCCTCCTTCCAAGAGGACTCCTGCTGAATCAATAACACTAACAGGTTCATCATTCTGTTTTTACACTTGAGTTAGGAAACTAAAGAATAATTCTCCCTGCTTTGCTGCATGGTAATATCTTTTTATATATGTCTAATTTAAACAGACATAACATATTAATTTGTTTAATATTGTAAGTAACCAGTTCTTATTGTGACTAGATAGATAGATAGATAGATAGATAGATAGATAGATAGATAGATAGATATCAAATACATTAGCAAATAGTTCACGACTAGGCCTAAATAAAGAGTTATAAATCATTAGTTAATAAAAAATTGCGGAATATACAAAAGGGCAGAGCTGTGGTTCCCCAGGATGTTTTACTACAATTATGGAGCATTATGTGTACATTTTGTCACCGCTTTAATTAAAGTCTCTAATTAGTTACAGTAATACATATATTAGGTAGTTTATTTTGCTGTGGCGATCCTAGACCTGTCTCGATATCTGTATTTTTTGCTAATTTATAGTACCAAAATTTAGTACGAGAAACAGCATTATTGTCATTTTAAGAGCATTTTTGCCACTCATTATATAATCATAGAATGGCAATATAATAGCATCCTGATGCAAGTACATACTATATTTTACTTTTAATAATATTTAACACAATTATAGTAATTTTAATAATTAGGGATTGGAAGCTGAATGTGAAAACATTTGTATATCCTAATATATACAAATAAATAAATAATAATTAATAATAATAATAATAATAATAAAGAGTGCAAGGTAACAAGAACTAGAAACGTTTTAGACTAAATTCAATATGACTTTAGAGGAAATACTATTGTGTTTTTTACTGACACCTTCAATAAAGATTGGAAGAGATGACCCAGACTGCACAGTCATCTAAAATGTTGCTGGCATTAGTTTTTTATGTATGGCAGATGTATGTGATAGGGGTCATGTTCAGGTCTTCCTGTGATAATTCGATATATTGATTATTGGGACAGACCTAGGTGACCGCTGATAAGGGACTGAACTGAAAGAAAATGAATGAATAAAACATATACTATTAAGTAGTTCTTGTGTATGAGACAAATGGTCATACCAGGGATGGGCAAACTCAGTCCTGGAGGGCCGGTGTCCTGCACAGTTTAGCTCCAACACTAATCAAACACACCTGAACAAGCTGATCAGTGTCTTCAAGATCACTAGAAATCTACAAGCAGGTGTGTTTGAGGTTTGAGTAGAGTTGGAGCTAAACTGTGCAGGACACTGGCCCTCCAGGAACGAGTTTGCCCACCCCTGGTCTATACTGTAAATGCTGTTACTTTTGTGTTGTTTAACGTATATGTTCAAAGTTTGTTAAGTAACATGATTCTCATAAATATAAAAATCGCAGAATCAGAATCAGAAAGGGCTTCATTGCAAAGTGTGCTTCCACACACAAGGAATTTGTCTTGGTATAGTATAAACAGTGCTACAAAGTACAAACAGTGCAGACATAAATAGAAAAAAAGATCATTAATATATAACGATTGCATGTAAAAAATAGACTTCTTTCCCTGTTTACTGAGTTTAATGTGCATTAAAAACAAGTATTTGCTGTACTATTATTATTTAACTGGGTGTTATTTTAGTCAGTGTCTTCAGTAACTAAAGAAAATAAAGAAAATTATATATTTTTGTATAATTGGCCTAAAATAACATGTAGTTATTTTTGAAATATTTTAATCACTGCTGATTATAACAGATTCATGAAGAATGTAAAGTATATTTTATGAATATGATATAAATAAGCCTCTACTATTCTAATTCAAATTTCTGGTTCTCATTTTTTTAATCAGGTACAGTTTTCCAGGGAGTCACTATATACATAGTTCCAGCTGGTATAGGGAAAGCCAGGTGTGATATATTCCATCGGCAGATCACCCAGAATGGAGGACAGGCAGTCTCCACATTCGCTCCCAGCTGCACACATGTGGTGGTGGATGATTCAGTTGATTTTAAGAGAGCTCTGAGACTTCTGAAAGTAGATACACTGCCATCTGCTGTTCATTTGATCAAATGCACTTGGTTGAGTGCCTGCATCAGTGAGAAGAGATTACTAGACACTGAAGACTACAGCCTCCTTCCTCCTGAGAGGTAAAGCTCTGGAATCTTGGCTTTAATACAGAAGTCTTTCTTTCTTTCTTTCAAGCACTATGTATTATAAAGCACTTTTACATCAACTACTAAATGATCCAAATCACTGTGCAGTCAGGAAAGAACCAGGCAGGTACAGTATTTAGGTTAAAGCTACCACCACAGGCATAACACTACATAAAAAGACATGGGGGACAATGGGGACCCTATACTTATGGACATTTGTTTCGTAGAGAGGGGCTGGCAACAATGAAGACTCAAAAATCTGCTTTAATCTTGAAAACTGGAGAAGACTCAGGTTGCTGGATCTTAAAGCTCAATTTGGACTATTTTATGTATACATGCATTTGACAAAGAGCAAGAAAAACAGTGGTGTTGCCTTTGGTTTAATATTTATATTTAATAATATTTAATGGGATAGTTCACCTAAAGTTTTATTAATATCATCATTAACTCACCTTAAACTTGTTACAAATCCTGTATTTAGAAAATATGTCTTTTCTACTATGGAAGTCAATGCCTACCAGCCCATGCCACATTCTTCTTTTCTTTTTTCTTTGTGCTTGACTGAAAAAGAAACTGATTTCCAGTTTAGTGTGCAAATGTTTAGTCAATTAAATTTGTTTGGTGATCTGTCCATTTAATGAACATGTCCTCAGTCCCACAGTTGCTGCCGCTGAGAAGTCAAATGAAGCAACAATCCAACCAGTTCCAGAAGTAGCAGCACAGGATCCATTGCAAATCCTTGACAATCTGGATCCTCATGAAAATCTCACAGAGACTGTAAGAACTGGTTGGAAGGAAGGTAATTGTGTCCATCTGTAAAATCCACATCCACATTTAATATGATTCATTTCACAGATACCACCAGAGACTCAGGAGGAGTACCACGAGGAAGACGGTGTATCTCAAAATGACCTGGAGGCCTTGATCAGTGGTGTTCATCCATCAGAGAGCAACCAAGACCAGAAGCAGAGCTCAGCTGACAAGCCAGTTTTGCCTGGGAAATGGGTCTGTTCTCAGCCATCCACAACGAAAGGGGAGAACCATAACAAACACCTCACTGACAAACTAGAGCCGCTGGCCAAAGCCTATACGCATACGGGTGATAAATGGAGAGCTCTGGGCTATTCTAAAGCCATCAACGCCCTTAAGAGCTACCACAAGCCCATCACTTCATATGAGGTCAGTTCAGATACAAATATGAGTCTGTAAAAGTTTTTGAGTTCACTGAATTCTTATTTGTGCTTTGAACACATATGGTTGCTGCTTCATGGTGCTTTACATAGTGAATCTAGTTTGAAGCATGCAACAGTGAGAAGTTTCATAATAAATTTAAATTTTATTATACTACAGGGTTTTTTAACGCTTTATTCCGCTTGGCTGGTGCAATTGTTTTTATAGGAATTACAGAGCTTGACTGCAGTAGTTCCATATCAATGATATCAAACATCATTACAAGCTACAAAAGCAAAACACTTGACTGAAAATTAACCACTTCAAAACTGAAAATTGAGAACATATTTTTTTGATTTTACCAAAAAGTAAGGTTTTATTATCTTCTGAGAACACATACAATCGTTTGCCAATACTCTTTCATTTAAAGTACAGACAGATACAAAAACATATATATTCTAAAAAATCTAAATAAAAAGCTTTAAGACATTTCTCAGAGGAGAGTATGGCAGTGTATATTATCAAGCCTGTCTTTCTTTATTTTGTAATATTTGCAGTCTAAATGTACTTTTTCTCTTTTTTATAACAGTATAAGCATAGATCAATTGATTCGTGGCTGTAAAAAAATAAGAATAAAAAAGGACATTCACAGTATAAAAGCCATTCCACTTTGCACTGCTTCACGTCATTTCACGACACAACCTATTTTATTTTGGACATTGGTTATTTTGTAATGTAATGTGTATTTATATAGCGCATTTATTCTGTATGGCCATACACCCAGAGTGCTTCACAATCATGAGGGGGGGTCTCTCCACACCACCACCAGTGTGCAGCATCCACTTGGATGATGCAACGGCAGCCACTGTACAATGGTGCCAGTGCGCTCACCACACACCAGCTATTGGTGGAGAGTGGAGAGAGAATGATAGAGCATATTCGGTGGATGGGGATGATTGGGAGGCTATGATCAGTAAGGGCCGATGGAGGGACTTTGACCAGGACACCAGGGTTAAACCCCTACTCTTTACGAGCAGTGCCATGGGATTTTTAATGACCACAGTGAGTCAGGACCTTGGTTTACGTCTCACCCGAAAAACGGCGTCCACTGACAGTATAGTGTCCCCTTCACTTTTACTGGAGCTTTAGGGCTCATTCAGACTGCAGGTTGAGCGCCCCCTGCTGGCCTCTGTAACACCACTTCCAACAGCAACCTAGTTTTCCCATGTGGTCTCCCATCCTGGTTCTGACCAGGCTCAGCCCTGCTTAGCTTCAGTGAGTAACCGGTCTTGGGCTGCAGGGTGATATGGGTGTGGCTCATTTAAATTGTCCATTATCAGTTTATTATTTATTCTTTTAAATATGCAGTAAAAACACTAATATCCTGCACATCCTTTTTATAGGAAGCATGTAAGATCCCAGGCATTGGTAAACGCATGGCGGACAAGATCA